GAGGTGGAGGGGTCGCAATAATGTTAAAAGATACGCTGAACTTTACGGTTATGAATGATGTTGATGGAACCGAGTCTTGTTGGGCTAGAATAAACTCATTTTCTCCTCCCATTATTGTTGGTGGTGTTTATCGTCCCCCTAATGCCGACTTGTCGTTTTTAGAAAATTTATACTCACACCTCACGCCCATTGTAAAAAAAAAATAAGCACGTTATTATTGCAGGTGACTTTAACCTTCCCAATATTAGCTGGGAAAATCTTTCTCCTTTGAACCACAACTGTACTGATTCTGTTTTGTTAACTGAAATGTCGTTCAATCTAAACCTGTATCAAACCGTCACTGCAGCCACACGTGTTCAAGGTTCATCGTCAAATACTCTTGATCTCGTGTTTGTTTCAAGTGATGTCGCGAAGCGCACCTTTTCATGTGAGGTCTCGGAAGGCATCTCAGATCATCGCATTGTTGTTTTTGAATATAATCCCTCTAGTGTAGGTTGTGCTAGTCCTGCTCGTAGGAGCACACGCAGAGTGTACGATATTAAGAACGCGCTCGACGAAAGTGTTATTGACCAATTTGAAATTAAACATGACGTTTTTCTTAGTCTGTACTCTTCGCCAGAAAATAATGTTAACGAAATGTGGTTGTATTTCAAAAACCTAGTTCATGGGTGTTTGAATCTTTATGTGCCTAAAAGAACTCTCCGCTCCAAAAATCATAACAATCCATGGTTAACGCGTAATATTATTCACTTAAAACGGAGAATTCATAGACTGCGCAAAAATAAACACAATCTTCTGCTAGGAGAATATGCTGACAAGATGAGGGAGCAAAAGCAGGTGTTAAACAATTCTATACGCAAATCCAAGTATAACTTTTTTAACGTCTCACTGCCTCGCTTTTTAATAACAGACCCAAGGAAATTCTGGCGATACATTTCTCCCAAGAAGAAACAGCTAGATAAAATAATTGTTGACGGAGTAGACGTAACTGCGGGCAAAGAAATGTCCACCGCCTTTAACCCGTACTTTTCCAGTGTGTTTTCGCAAGACAACGGTGTCGAACCGAGCTCGCCAGATTTCCAGTTTGCACAGTCACTGCCTGATATTGCCGTCTCTGAGGAAGGAGTGTTCGCTTCTCTGCTCAGTCTAGATACTAAAAAACGTTCTGGTCCCGACGATATACCGAATGAATTTTTAATGAGATACGCGGAATGGTGTTCTAAATATTTATACTGTTTATTCGAAAAATCGCTACGAGAAGGTTCAGTGCCAGATGATTGGAAATGCGCAAGAGTCGTTCCCATCCACAAATCGGGGAGCACCGATGACACTACTAATTATAGACCAATTTCTCTGCTCTGCACGGTCAACAAACTGCTTGAGCATATAGTACATAATCATATTTCTTCTTTTCTCGAAACAACCAACGTTATTTGTTCTGAACAACATGAATTCAGGCGTAAGCTCTCTACGACTACGCAACTTACGGAAACGGTTCATTATTTTTCGGAAATTATTAACAAAAGGGGGCAAACGGATGTAATATTTTTAGATTTTTCGAAGGCCTTCGACCGTGTGTCACACCCCAAACTTCTTGTAAAACTATCTAAATTATTGCCAAATGGCAAAGTGCTTCGGTGGATTAAAGACTACCTATGCAATAGGAAACAGCTCGTTGAGGTAAAGAAGGAACGATCATCATTACTGCCGGTGCATTCAGGTGTTCCCCAGGGATCCGTGTTAGGCCCTCTCCTTTTCCTCGTTTATATAAACGACGTAGTAAAAGATAACATAAACATAAATTTTCGCCTATTTGCCGACGATCTGGTTATATTTTCTGAAATTAAAAATGGCGCAGATCAAGCTAATCTCAATTTGAGCCTGAAAAAAATCAGTGACTGGTGCCAGACATGGCAAATGCAGTTAAACCTTGAAAAATGTGTTTCGATGACAATAACGCGTAAAAAGTCTCCGTTGGTCTTTTCATACAGTTTAAATAACTCTGCTCTGCAACAAGTTTCTTCGTTCAAATATCTTGGAGTCACTATATCTTATGATCTCAGATGGAATGCCCACATTGACTCGCTGTGTCAGAAGGCGATGTTCAAACTGTGGCATCTGAAACGTAACTTAAGACACTCTACATCTGCAACAAAATTAATAGCCTATAAATCTCTCATCAGGCCACTTTTAGAATATGCTGACATTATTTGGGATCCACACACATTATTGAACATAAATAAACTCGAAAGAATACAAAAGAGGGCACCAAGATTCATTTACAACAAATACAAAAGATTAGATTCTGTGAGTGCCCTATACAGCATAGCCGGTATCCAGCCCCTCCAAACGCGTAGGAAAATTAACAGACTCACTTTCCTATACACACTGATAAACGATGGCTTTAGAATAGACAGGTCACGCTATGTCACTCTAAAATCTGCGAGAAGCACACGTAGCTACCGTGCCTTATCACTTACAGACTATCAATGCCATACCGACTGCTTCAAATTTTCTTTTTTTCCTAAAACCATTACTGAATGGAATGAGCTGCCTTTTGAGATCGAAAACACGACTTCCATCCAATCATTTAAAGCCTCGCTCTTTTCATTATTTAAATAACCTCGAGGCTACTTATTGCTTATTGTTTTGATTTTGTTGTGACTGCTGTCTGTTAGCCAATCTTTCAATGCACTGCTCCTGAAATAGTTTGGCAGCTATATATCTCGAACTAAGTTGTGTTGGTCGTTTGTGTATATAACATCGTTCAATGTCTTGTTCGCTTTCTAGCGTAAACGGTAAAATGTACATGGCAAAGTGTAATGATGCTCACTGTTTCGTTTCATTGTTGTGCAGTATTTCGGTTGCGGGTTTCACGGTTTCTGCTCTTTAATATGTTCGTTGCACTGGCCTTGTTCCATATTGTACGTTTCAGTATTGTTTAGAAGCCCGTCCTACAACGCCCTCCTTGAGAAGGCAGTAGTATCTGTAAATAAATAAATAAATAAAATAATGGAACACGACCCATTACGCGAATGTTTGGCGATGCTGATTGCCATGAACCCGAGCACTCGACTCCGGCTCATGACAAGCGACTATGTTAGGGTGCAACATGACTTGCGGTGCGAAGTCGTGATGTCATGTGACGTCACGGTGTCAACAACGCCAATAAATCTAGTGACGTTCTAAATTTAAATCGATTTGACGTAGTGTGTCACATGACGTCACTGGGCCAAGTGACGTGACATTACTTGACAATATGTCTTGACACTAGGGTGCCTGGAGCGCGTTTCCGACTGGTTTGTTTAGTGTCCCATCTCTCCCAAACATCAACAGTACTCCGAAAGTGTCACGAAATGACGTCAAAAAAGCTGGAGTATTCTGCTGTCGGATGACGAGATCCTGGTGGTTGGTCGTAAAAACGCTGGCGGAAAGTACTAGGGAACGCGAGTGTCGCGGTCGTCATGGCGTTCCAACTTCTGCCTGTCGAAGCTACCGTGAACTGCCGCAATGGAGAGCGACCTGCCGCAGAACAGGCGTCTGCCACATCAACCACCGCTGCTAGGGCACCATCAGGATCGCGACCATCGACAGCACGACACTCCTATGATGTCATCAAGCAGAAATTGAGGGACTACTTCTTTGGACGCGATAAACACACCAGTCGGAGACGCGTTCCACTCATTATACATGACACCATGCACGTAAAATGTCCACGTGACACATGATTAATCATATTGCCAAAACAAAAGCGCTACGAGAACCCACAATTTTTCATACATTGCAATTCTGCATAGGTCGATTTGATCAATATATGGGAACACAGCTGCCAATTTTTTATTCTCAAATATTTATTTTGTAATACTAACAAAAACAAATCGTGAACCGTTTTGAACCGGTCACCGTTATATTTTTTCCGCTTCACTTCCGGTTCAGTTCCAAGATGGCGCCGAAGATTTCGGTTCGGTTCAGTTCTGGTTCGGCTAAAAATAACGGTTCCGTTCCGGTTTTCGGCTCGGTTTGGTTCCGGTTCGACACCCTGCCCACAACGCTCTCCAAAACCTGCAACAAAGTTTGGATCTCCGCAGGGAAGTCTAGCGGCGCGCCTGCTCAATGTCCACGTCTTGGTTGCGGACAGCGTAGTAGAGATAGAAGAGCGATCTACGAAAACTCTCTAGTATTGAATTTTCGTAGACCGCTGTCCCTACTATAACTACCAGGTAGGGTATACTATACTCCGTTTCACCTTCCGTCCGAGCACAGCGGACGCTAGGAGCCATCCCAGCCAATGCGGCGTTGAGGGAGTGTCATGCGACCTTGAGCTCCCTGCGTCGCCCCGCCCCACCGGCAGGTCACGCGACTTTCTCCCGGCGCTGGATCGGCTGGGATGGCTCGTGGCGTCCACTGCGCTCGGACTGAAGGTGAAACGAAGTATAGTAGATAGCCCTCGTTAACTCAGATAACAATACCCGATACACCGCCGGCGCCTTTCCGCAGCATTCACCTTGTCGTCATCAGATATAAGGTATCGTTATCGGAGTTGTTGAAACCAAATCTTCGTAACATTCCCTAATCTTACTGTAAGAATATTCAACAAGCACTGCTCCTAAAACGTCAACTATCTTGATCGGAAACTTTCCCTTCGTTTCCTGCGTCACCTCTCTCTCTCACTGTCTGACGTTTCTTTTTTCCTTCTTTTCCTCTCTATTATCCGTCTCTTTCTCTCGCTATGTTATGTGTCATGTCACAGGGGCAAGGAGAACTTTACATGACTTCGCGGGCACAAATTTGGGATTTCACAAGAGGTTAATGGAATAGACTACTTAGTGCTCGTTTATACTCAGTGTGTTGATTTCTTTTTATGTCTGACGCCACGGCTCGCCGAAAATACAATGAAACTTACTCCTCGCTGAGTAGCGTTTGGGATTGCATAACTACTATATATGCTGCTTGTGTGTGTCACCATTTCTCACAAGTGCCTCTGGTCGCCCCCATATCAGGTTCAGCCCAGAGAACAAGGCAAGCATTCCGGCCAACGCATTTCTCCCTTTCGGTGTGGGACCCAAACACTGCCTGGGACAGAGACTGGCACAGCTTGAGCTCGCCTTCATCACCGCTATGCTACTCAGGCGATTCCGTATCACTCTGGGACCAAGCCAGAAGGTAAGCAGTTCTCTTATAACGAATTCACGCAGCCTACAACGAAGTTCACCTTTACCGAACTCAAGTGGAGTATAACAATGTGAATACAAGTGGTTTGCGTAGTTCTTGCAACTTACTTCTGTGTGGGAAGGAAGAAAATATATGCATTTGAGGCTAAATCACTTAGAAATACTAACCTGTGGCTACCCACTTACCTGAATTCTGACACACTCACAGCATGACCCGGGGTGTGGTGAAGCACTTCTAGTCCTTTGGGGCTTACATGCAAAAAATAACGAAACAGTGTGTGCTACCTTGAAGCCCTGGGGTTGTTAAATGGGGATGCATCTTTATATCATATAAAGATGCATCCCCATTTAACAACCCCATATATCAATTTGCGATTCAGAATGCACATTTATCTGAGGATGTAAGACGCCAACGTATCTATTGTTTGGCTGGCAAGAACAGGTATCCCTAAATAAAAAACGCAGATATGTTCTAATCATATTTTTTCTTCCATTTCAGCCTGATATGGAGTACGTTACGTACGCAATGCTTGCCGCACCTAAGAACGGAGTTTGGATCAAACTCCAGAAGCTCGAAGCATAGAAGTCGTCCCGGAAAAACATTGGCACCGCACCGCTCCAGACGTCTGTGAACGACAACGTTGGAGTGTATGGCCAACACAAGAATAGCGCTCTACACCTGGCATGTGTGTCAAGCGCACTATACACCAGATGTGCTGGTGTGCCTCGGAAACTGCAACGAAATACATCTCAGGGACCTTTGGCGGAATCGATGTTAACACATATGGACGCTTACTGGGTGATTGGACCCCGACACCCAAATTTATGTGTGACATCACAATTCTTGTCATGTCTAAAAGGTACCAGTGCAGCATACGACTGGGCACAAAAGCCATTTGGGTCGCGGCTTCCATACCCGTCGCTTCTAGATTTACCTCCGACTTGTAGGAATAACCTCGCGTAATAAGTACGTTCTACCTGAAAAAACTAAACTTACTTTGTATTACGCTTTCTTTTATTCATATTTAAGCTATTGTTTTCTTGTCTGGGGTAATACCACAACATCCAATATTCAGAAGCTTCTGATCTTGCAAAAGAAAATGCTACGTGCTATTACAAAAGCTCCATATAATTCCCCAACCGGGCAGGCTTACTCGCAGTTTAAAATTGTGCCTGTATATAATTTATTTGAATATAGATTCGCGTGTTTTTACAAAAATAGTATAGCTAAAAACGATAATTTTCTTTCACGTATTGTTTCTACTGTGCCCCACAATACGCCTTATGCAACCAGGGAAAAAGACAGCTTTGTTTTACCTAGATGTAGAACGAACTATGGCTTTACAATGTTGCGATATATCTTGCCTAAGTTTTTGAATACTCCTCTATGTGATCACTTGAATGGTATGTCTTCTTCTGTCCTTAGGAACGCTTTTCTATAATTTGTCTGTACTTCTCATTTTTGTCTGTATTGTTCATTTTGTATATATATATTATTTTTTACCGCGTTTACACTGCTGACTTGTAAGGGTGGCGAGGCCCGTCAAGCAGTGGACGACACTGCTTTTTTCTTGCCACCCTCAGTTTGTATTTCAAGCTGAAATAAACGCTGATTGATTGATTGACTTTGCGACCCCAAGGAAGATGATAACGTTGCTTTGTATCATCATCGGTTGGAGCGCATTAGAATACCAAAAAATACAAACACAGACACACGCACTACAAAACGATAGGTCACGGTGCGGTCACTGCGCTGTTTAGTTTAAATGAATATAGCAGACATAAGATATCCATTCATCTGCATTTGCGCAAATATTAAAGTGAATTCGTGTTTATAGAAATGTTTTATTTGTGTATTTTTCTGTTTAATCAGCTGTTTTTCCGTGAAAATATTTTGAGTGTTTTTTTTTTCCCCGTTTTCGCTGCTTTATATGACAATGTTCTCCAGCAAGTAACCCACTTTTTATTTGTTCCTTTATATAATGTTTCTTCAACAGGATACCCCCACCTTGTGTAATGCCCATGAAGGCCTTCAAGGTTTAATAAATGATGATGATGATGATGATGATGGTGATATTCCCCTATCCCGTGACGTTGCACTTTTGCCACTTTTTGATTCGCCCCATCGGTTCCTGGTGTCGGTTGCTCTCTGACCTTGGGTGAAACGAATTACAAGCTCACCACCTCCTGTTCTTCGTCTGCGTCAGCAAACCCGCCAACAATTCCAGGGGCCCTAATCTGCACACTTGGCGAAAAAGACGGCGAGAAATCCTGCGGCCGTGATTGGCCAACACCGCACTTGACCTTGGCGCCGGCCAATCATAGCCGCAGGATTTCTCACCGACTTTTTCGCCAACTGGCCAGATTAGGGCCCCAAGATGAACTCTCAGTGCCTCTTCGATTGACTGGAAGACCAGCTGTACCATCAGCAGGAGGAAATGAAGCGAGCAAAATAAATACGCGTCAAGTACCTTGGTAAGACTTGTGCTCCAAAGGCCCACCGCTTTTCTTTTTCTCTTTTTTTATTTTTTTAACGTGAAACGTTTATAGGCTTGCTCTTCTCTCAAAACCGTAACCGCGAGTTTCCCCGCCAACGTTTGCGGGGAAAATGACTCCACGTGATCATGTCACGTGACCTATACAAATATATAGTTTCCCCGCTAAATTTAGCGAAAAAATTTCCGTCCCTTGACATAATGTCACGTGACCTGTACGCCAATTCAGTCTTCTCTCGATTTAGCGAGAAAATTTACGTCACGTGATCTAGATATAAATACAGTTGGCCCGCTAAATTTAGCAGGAAAGTTGATACGTGAAAATTTAAATGAGTTTCAATAACTCCACTAACACTTACACAAACCAGCTCTAATCCTAGCTAACTCTAATCCAACTCTAACTCTACCTCCAACTTTAACTATTTCCAACTCTGACTCTAACTCCAACTTTAACTCTAACTCTAAATAACTCTAACTCTAACCAACTATATCTCTAAATAATTGTAAGTCTGACTCTAACTCTATCTTTAGTTAACTCTATCTAACTCTAACTCACCACTAACTATCCTGAACACTTGGTTTAGCGCTGGAGGTTTAGCACCCCAAACGCTAAACCAATAATGTTTCACGTAGCAACACAATTGCAGACAATTTGCGACACATTTCTTAATTGTCCGAAACGCAGGTTTGCATATTACTCTACTGCGCAATTAGAGAAAAAAAAACAATTTTTCGCCTTTCGCTCATAAAGGCGAAATTTAGAATTCTTTTTGCTCAGCATCCGGCTTAACATCGCCACCCTCTTTCACTGTGTGTCTCGAAACGCTTGAGGCAGGCCGAGACGCTGAGTTGAAACATTTTTCGCAAGATCCTTGAAGGACGATCATGAGGTAAATGTGCCATATGTCGCCTAAGAAAATTGTCCTTACCTCTTTTTTACAATGGCTTTCTATCCTACCTTTTTGTTTCATGCTGGACGCATGAAACAAACTGATATTTTTAATATTCCTGAGTATTTCATTATTTAGTATTAACTCACCTTAATATAGCATAGTTTTGTTACAGTGAGTCTGTTCGGTATTAACTGTCTACATTCGGTACACAATATGACCATACTTTAAATCTATCAATCATGATGTATGTTTTCAAAGGAGTCATTCTTTGCGCTGACAATAGCCAGTTGGAGCAGCGCTATGGATACCATGGGTGGGAAAGGGGAATACTCCTCTTATAGGCATTTTGAGTGACAGGCTAATCCTTGGGGAGAGGGGGGCGGGGGCGGGGGGGGGGGGAGGGCGAAAAAGACAAAACAAATTGCTCCTTAAGGCTTCCTTTTTTTAAGGTTTCCGGGTTGAGTAACTCTATAGAGGGGTTGCCATGAAAACATCTTCCGCTGTAAATCGAGCCGGAAAAATCGCCGAATGTGCACTGAGTATGTAACTCTTACCGTTTGAAATTTTAAGGTCTAGCCATCTTCCTCTGAAAAATAAGAAGAAGAGACTTGATACTGTGAACGCTTGGGCTAGTTGGTAATTTATGGTTGTAGGGAACAGCGCGGATATACAGTCACACTCACAGGCACGCAAGAAGGAAAGAGACTCGCAGCTCTGACTAACAACTCAGTGATGTATTTCTTCTTCGTCAAATCGTCATCTTCTTCTCCTTCGCCGTTAAAGGGAACATTTAAAGTTTTTAAACACCAGAAACCAAATGGCCAATATACATTCATAAAAAATAATTCATAAATAAATAACAACAAAAAATTAGGTTTAAAAAATTAAACTTCTAAAATGTTAAGTTATTTTATATTCTAAAGAAAGTCATGCCCGCATACTGTAAAACTAGCTTAGACAAGCAGATAGCTAGGCTACGATCAGTGAAGTACCCTGTTAACTTATTAATATCTTTCGCAGAAAAACTCCATCAGAAAATTAAAAATTCCGAATTCACCCAATGTAAGAAAAGGGTCCTAAACCAAAGGCCAGCGGTTCTGCCTCATATTCACCATATTTCTCATGGTCTTGAAAAGATAGGCAACCGCGTAAACGTAAACAGAGTATTATATTCTCTGCCCTATACAAGCTCTCCAGTTTCTGTAAAAAAGTCAATTCATCCTCCGATAGAACATTAGATTGTATAAAAAAGCATCACGCCCGTTTTGTTCCTTGCTCTGAAAGGGTGGTTTATGCAATTCCCTCTCATGCCTTGCACAGAATGTCGGGCAAACCGGGAGGTGTCTAAATGACCAGTTACGAGAATATCACTATTTATTTTATTTTTTATTCATTTCATTTTACGTGCCTAATAACAACCATGCAGATCTCCTCTTTGGGGAACATATATATATATATATATATATATATATATATATATATATATGAACTGAAAAAATACACAATTGCAGGTTTCAAACGCAAAGACAAAAACATGCAATATTTAAAGTTCGGCAACAAGCACTTTCACTTGGTGTCTGGACACCTTAGTGACACTGTATATATCAAGTTCAGCATTTCCACTACTGATAAACAGATTGTATTCGTGACAGAGGAGATGGTTTACAGATGTTGTGAATGCTGAAAGTACTGCGGGTCCTAGTGGATCCACACTACTATAACATAAACAAAGTAATCTCAGGTAACCTAAGCATCCAATGCCGGGACTGCGGGTGCTCAGCGGACTTGAGCAACTGCGCTGTTATTAACAGAAGTGGTAATCAGCTGACACGAGAAATTATCGAAGCTGAAAAAAAGACCAGGCTGGGCAAGCAATGCGTCAGTGTTCCATCCTTAGCTTTATCAAGGAAAGAATAGGGTTATCTAGAGATATCATCAAATCACCAATAGCGATGGGGAAGGTTTCGTTAATTTTTTATTTATTATATTTTTAATTTTTATTTTTTATTTTTATTTTAATTTTTCTTATTTTTTCAGTTTCTCTTTTATTTTTTTACATATTTTGCATTTAGTTTTTGTTCCCATTTATTTATTTATTTATTTTTTTATTATTTATCAAAGTTTATTGGCTATTTGGTTTCTGGTGTTTAAAAATTTTAAATGTTCTCTTAAACGGCGAAGGAGAAGATGCCCAT